AAAATTTACTTTAATAAAAAGTATTTAATTACTCTGACAATTATCGGAAACATTTAATATTAGTAACTAAAAATTTTTTTTTTTAAATTTCATTGCTCTACCACTACATATTTTTTCAAATTGTTTTTTTCAGATCAGTAGTTAGATAACAAAAAGGTTTTAACTTATTGTTAATCCAGACTGGTGCATAAACTTCTAAAATAAATTCAGCCAGAATTTCAAGATTGTTAGTAGAATTTAGAGCTGCCACATACAATTGAAGTATTCAATTTGCTAATGTAAGCCATCTAGAGTTAGATGGTTTTCCAGGAGTTTTCGATGATGAGTCTAAACAGCAGTTTCCACTAGATACACATTTTCATTAAATACTTCTGTACTTAAATCTGTATCTGTATCTAAATCAATAACATTTTCTAATAAGGTAAGGTAATTTTCAATTAGTAAAAAAGAAACTACAGGCAAGTTATCGTAGTTTCTTACCTTATTTCCCCTAAAACTCATTGGCACCCATAGTTTTACCATCTAAATAATTAAAATGGTGGCGTAAAGGCAGATTGTGTCCATGGAATAAGCAAACTAATCATTTCTGTAATGTTCCTATTTTGTTTTCCAAAAATTTAATTACACAGTTATTTATTCCAGTATTTATAACGGTTCTTTTTTTATGTATTTTTTTTTTATACTGTTTTTGCGAATAAAAAAATTTACAGTCGTAACTTATAAAAAATATTTACATGACCGGGGCTAGAAGAAGACAAATTTAGTCTTATCATTTACCACTACTATATAATGGTGTTACGGGGTCTAAAAACTTTAAGTTTAGTTTTTCTATTAGAGAAATGTGCTCTTTTGTAATAATCATTTTGAAAAACCTAGTTACTTTCTTTTCTTGGCTAATTTTCATATCTTTTCTTGCATCAAAATACAGTCCTCTATTTTTAGTAATCAGGTCAAGACTGTCTTAAATGCATTTTTCCCGGTTCTTTGACCTCGATTGTTTAGTTTTCATTTTGTCAATTACTTTACTTTTGTCATCTATATTTGTCATATATATTTAATAAAGATTACAAAATTAAAGTAAATTTGCAGTAGCAGCTCTATCGGATATTTCTGTGCGATCACAGAGGGAGGCATCTAATGGCAGTTTAATGCGCATTTGAGTAATTTTTTTATCTTCATGTAATGCTAAAGGACCTGCATAACTTCTCTCTTCTGTGTTTTTTGTCATAACAGTGAAATTTTCTGTTTCTTTCTCTTGTCTAATGGCATCTTCATTATCAGTAAACGCTGATAACATTGCGGTATTTATTGAATTTTCTTCGATATATATAAAAATTTTTCTAGATTTTTTTACGTTTTTTGGCATATTTCAATAAAAGCGTTTGTTGTAGTTCTATCAACGTTACTCATAACCATTTTTCTAAACGGTCGTTTAGAAAAATGATCATTAAAAAACTCCTGCTCTAGAAAAGTGACTTTTCTTTCTTTTGTACAACAACACTGTTGAAAGTCTAAACATTTACAGGCAGCAATATCAAATATGCATTTAGCATGATCTTTAAACGTAACAAGGTTTGAGGTATATTTTTCCAATCCTTTTCTGCTCATAGAACTTATCAAATTTCTTTTCTTGTCATCATACGCTTTTATCGTTACTAATATTTGGGTAATAAAAACTACAGGAATAGTAGCTATTTTCTTATTTATTTTCAATTTTCTGAACTGAACTACCATAAACTTTATATACAATCAACTCCTTTGATGATGTTTCTGGTTTGAATTTGTGATGTCTTATAAGAAAATAGCGTTTCATTTCATCTTCATATGTTGGCAACATTACTGGTCTTTAACCATTAAAACTTTCTAATATAGGAAAATCCACCATTTGTCTATTTTTAACTTGTTTCGAAAGGGCCATTTTGTTTAACAACGCTACATTAACTTGAACAATTCTATATCACTTAAAATACAGTAAACTGCATTCTGGGACCGATTCTTGTCCTGATATGAAATCTACCTCTGCTTCTTTCTTCACTCTTCGTTAAACTCCCCTCCGCCACGTCTTCCTCCAATCCTCATTAAAACCTGACATTATCGTGTTCGCTCTTGTTTCAAATTTTAATTCATGAACACGCAGTACTTCTAAGTCAAGAAAAGACAGTAATTCTAAGCTTAATTTATCATTTAAAAGTATAGCTTAAGAAATTTCAAATTTATGAAACTTTACCCTACTTGCGGCACCTCAAGACATACTCCGTACACAATTAAATTTTAAATTTATCTTTTTTATGTTAAAAGGCAACTTTTTCACACTATTAGAAAATAATAATGATAAAAAATTTATTTTCGTTCTACCTTAATTAACAAATGTATTAGAAAAAAGCGTTTTAAAATATATTTTTTTTATATAGCTTCCATTTAAATTGAGTAATACTTCTACCCTTTAAATAAACGAATTATCTATTTTAAAATGTAGTTCCCAATAAAAAATTGTTTTTTTCCTATATGCTTATTTATGTTTTTAATAGTTTTGAGGCATATAGAGCATTGTCATCCATAGATAGAAAAGTTGATTCTTCGGCAGAAGAATAAAAATAAAAAAAAATACATTTTAATGTGAATTTAGATCACCGCTACGCAACCATGTTTTTAGGAAGCCATATGTCCTGGAAAAAAATATAAGATCTTACTGTTATTACTACATAATTTGATCTATAAGTATAAACTTATATATTAAATTATGTAGCAATAACAGTAACTTTATGCTTGAGTTGTAAATGGTTGATAAAAGAAATAGCCTGTTTTTCAGTTTTCATGGTTTAGAACTTTAGAGTTAGAACTTCCCAATGACAGATAAAATATATGATATCTTTAAAATAGTTATTGAAAAACTCTATTAAATATTAGATATAAGAAGATTTTTGTTCTAGGCTAAAAAGCAATCAAATGAACTTAACTTCTGAAGCATAAAACATTATACAATTTAAACAGAAACATTAATTGAAGCAAGTGAATCCATTGATATTTTTGTTGCCTAAAAAAGATGTGATATATAAAAACAAAAATCATAAAAGAAATGCTGATTTTTGGTTATACTGATTGATTTAAATTAATGAAAACTAACATCTTGGAAACCATGCAGGCAAAAGGTCATCTTTTAAAGTAGAAATCATGTCATGTCTTTCTAAGTAGAAACCATGTCAGAAGCCATATGATTTCCTCAAAGTCAATATTAAACGAGCTTTGGTTTTTCATAGCATGTTGCAATCAAGTCAACCCTAGTTGTTATTGGTGGTAACTACTCAACTACCTAAAATAAGATCTGATACGTTAAAACAATCAATAAAAGACCAAAAAATCTTTTCATTATCTTATCATAATAACAAAAAAAAAAAAAAAAGGGGACGAGGCTGCATAACGCATACATAAGGCATTGAATAAATATTGCTAACCATGACACTTAGCTATTATCTGGAAAATGAAATATATCGACGCAAGTATACAAACCATATTGTACTTTACAATAACACTCACCTTATTACAATCAATTTGCTCATCATTTTTTTATGATATTACCATATTAACACTTATGATGTCGGCATATAGCTGGTGATGCTAATTTAATATTCAACAACATCATCTTCAATATCATTTGGTTTCCAGCAAGAAACTATGTACTGTTTTTCTTTTTAATTCTAAGAAGTCTGACATAATATACATCCTGGCTGTAAGTGGCATTTTTAAACCAAATGTGGTAAATACATTTTCCAATAGCAGCTTCAATAAAAATTTCTGCAATACTGGAAGCCTTGTTACTTTCTTGATCAAGGAATATTTCTTTTATCTTATAAGGTAAACAATATTTGTGACATTTTTTTTATTTTCCTCTTATCTTTTACTTCCTTATTCTGATTTTTGTCTGCTTTATATGTTCTGACATTTGAATTTCTTTATGACATTGCGCATTTGAATACAGGGTATTTATGGCATTAGAA